TCAAAAGGAGCAGCTTTGTCCTCAACCTCTACAAAGATGCACAATCTCTCCGTAACAATGGAATATTCCATGGCTCTCACATGTCCAACTTTATAAACAACTTCAACATGTAAAAATTTGAAGCAACATAACCGAATGAAACAGCTATAATTAAACTTGATTTTTTAAAACATTAGTGAATACTTGCGTCTAAAAGTAAACATTTTCTAATTTAAAGAAAAGATAAACATGTTTAGATAAAAAGTAACTTTTAAAGCTTTAAACATGCTTGGCTAAGCTTAAAACTTATCATTTTCTAGCCTTAGCAAAACATGCTCTGTACTAACCCATGGAAAAAAATTCTTCCGAATCGTGCAACCAGGGTTGGTTTTACTTCTTCAAACTCACAGGACTCCATGTTTTCTTTGACTTGCAGAAAAGAACGAAACAACTCTTGCTTCACCGTTTCAACTACAAAAACCCATGGGTTTGCCAACAAGACACTCTTGTCCTCAAAAGTTTTCTACAATGAAAAATATTATAAAATGTTTATTGTAGCACTAATAATTCAGATTTTAGAATGATAAATTAGATGAAATGCCAAGAAGATAAAACCGTATAGTAGTTTTCCCTACTTTCTGAGCAAGTTTGGCCCTGCTTCAAAACCATTAAAAAGAAAATGTAAAAAGCGTGCTTTTAAAAGGGGCAAAACATGCCATCGGTAAGTAACTAATAAACAAAATCAAGATTTTCAGATACTTCGGAAATACATTGGGCAGAAGTGCAATGTTCTGCAAATAATATCCCTACAAAGGACAATCTCTGAGGCACAAAGGACTAACCGATTTCTGTAATCTATTGTTCAATATTATAGGTTCAAATGGCATGAAAAACAAATGCTAGTATCCTNCTAACATCAAAATTTGTACCTAGAACGCCTAAAAGAAGGCACCATCAGCGTCCTTTTTTACTCATAAAAACCAGTCAAACAGAAAGAATAAATAAATAGAATATTGCAAACTTCAAATGTTTGTACGTTATGCAACAATACCAGTACCTTCCTGAACAGAAGGAGCAGCAAAAAACTTTTAAAAAAAAAGTGCTTCAAAATTCCAATTTTATACCTTCCTAGTATGAAAAAAAAAAAAAACAGAAAATAGGGAAAATTATCAACCTTTTAGATGATGATCGCTGATTACCAAAGTGAGCGGCTTTTCACCCGATTTTCGTTCATAGGATTCCAGAGCCACTGGCTCGAGCCTCGTAACGGTGAGAAGGAGAGTATCATCTGTTAAACCAACGGCGAACCACTTGGCTATCGCATTTTCTGAGTACACAATGCTCTTTGCCAACCGCTCTTTTATCGGTAATATCTTTCGAATTAAAATTCCTTTTTCGATTGAAATTAGGGTTAATAGATTCAGGCGGCAGCGTCGGTGACGGTGCAGACGATGGGCCTCCGCCTTTCGGCGGAACATATGCCATGCTACGACTAGTTGTTTACTGTGTGTCAAAGCAGGTGCTGGAAGCCGTTAGAGGTGAGGTGTAAAGCGTAAACCTTTCAATTTTCGGTTTAGCCTATCAATTATGAAAAAATGTTGTTTTGACTACTTTACGTGTCAAAGTTTCTTGTTTCAGTCCCTCTTGTTAGGGATTCAGTTTTCAGTTTAGCCCATCAACTATTTTTTGTTACGGATCCATCCATATTTAATATTACTTTCTCGTTGCAAGTTGAGATACTCAACATGGCTAGAGGTCGCGAACAAGAATCTCATTGATGTGTTGAACCAAATAGAGACTAATAAACCAAACACTGCTCTATTAAATCGTTTATTGACTTGAACTTCAAAGTTTCATTGAACAAGACTCCCCATCGATTTCAAGTGTATTCTACAAAGAATTAATCCACATAAGTGATTTAACATTCCGCTCATATTGCAAGATTAAGATTAAAGAGGAAGTTGAACAAAGTCAATGTTACACTTAGAATGAAGTATGGAATTACACCTTTTGGACTTTCAACTGTTTAAGTTGATTATTTAAGTTCCCATTTTTCCGAACTTAGATAAATTCCATAGGTTATGGGCTTTGAATCCAAAGACAGCAGAGATCTAAGATTCATGGGGTGCATGTAAGTGTTTGAGCCCTTCAAGATTTGTTTCACAATGAGTCTGTTGGCCTTTTCTGATGGATGAAAACACACTCATCTCTGTTTGGGCACAAACTTGATAGTGGCGTGCAAAGCCCCATTCCATTGTATGGTTCTTGTCCACAAGAGGCCATCTTTGACGTTGTAAATCCTGCACAATATTAGAAAGATTAATTAGTTTTTCTTATTTTTGGTGAAAAATTAATCATCATTTAAGCATGATATGATCTCAAAAGTTACTATTTATGAAACCATTCTTTCCACTTTTTATAGTTAAATATTTAAATATAGTCATCATGAAAATATGCAAGACCTTCAATTCAATCTTTTAAGGTATGTTTGATACGGTGAACTAGACAGGATTACATGTATAGGATAATGCATTAAAGTTTTACACATATTTGTTCATTAGTTTTGTACTTTTTTATCAAGTCCAAGTTACACTAAACATGTCCTCAGTGACTTCACTTCATTGCACCCCTTTACTAATATTTTCATGTATAGTGGTGAGTCGTATAAAGTGACAATCTTTTTTATGTTGCTCAATTGTTCTATTTATGAATGGCATTCTTGTAACTTGTGGAAATTAAAGTACTCGATTTAGTCTTTCGACACTGAAATTTTAGTTAGTGTTTTCATGCAACAACCACTAGGAACAAAATGACGTAAAAACTTGTCATTGAAGTTAGCTCAACACATTATATACGAAACCACCAAAGCAATAATGGGTCGCGAGGTTCAGGAAGAAAGGAAAATTGTAGTGAACGTACCATACGCTTTAGGTAGAGGTGTCAATTCGGGTGGTTCGGGTCTGGTCGACCCACCAACATATGAGCCTGGTAACGGCCAGCATGAAAAAAGCCCGCTCTCTACTGGTTTCAGGCAGGTCAATATCAGAAAATTGTGTGTAATTAAACAAAAAGATCTATTTAAATTTTCGAATATATCTTTATAAACAAAACTTGACCATATTTATGCGTGCGCGTTATGTTTGACAAAAAGGTTTAGCTAAATGAAATGCAAAATGTCAAAGTATATCCATATTAACAAAGATTTAGGGTCCATTTCACATGACTCTTAAAACGTCAAAAATTAATTCTAATACGAAAAAAATGTTTTTGAACATGTTTGAATAATTCTAAAAGTGCTTTATCTAGTTAAAAGATTTTTTCCAGGAAGCTAGCATAAGATAACTTTTTCTCGGAGCTTTTCTACAAGAAGCAGAAGTCAAAAATAAAAGTATTGTCAAACAGGTCCTTATTCAACCTCAAACTTTGATGTCACTCGACTGGGAGAGAGGGGGATTTTTACCTTCAAAAATCTTTGGTACTCAGAAATGAGAAAGGGGATATAAGCTTTGATGCTAAATTGGCGAGACCTTGCAGTACAAGGTAGCAAGTAATAGTACTACTTATTGACAAAATCATTGCCACCCAATGTAACCACAACCAGTGCTTCCATTATGAGTTTCTTCATCGCCGCTTCTCCTATAAGTGCTTTCACTCTTTCCTGGTACTGCTGGAAATAGTCTAGTTGTTGGGGAATTCGAATGATGTTTACCTGGAATGGACAAGATTTGTCAATCGTCACATCATATCTAGTATACAGTATAGTTAAGTCATAACATAATCAAACCGTGATTAGGTAACTTACAAACTGGATTCCGGTGTCATTAAGTATGCCGACCCCTGCAGATGCAAAATTGGCACCAATAAGTAATTTCTGCCCTGTGAGATCTGGACTCAAGTATGGCAAGTTAGGCTCCCAACCCATCTCTTCACTTAATATAATAAGAACACAACAAATCAAAAGCACAAGGTTACACACAGATAATTACATGTTCATATGTACGACATAAACAAATAAAATATGCATGCATGTATGACATCTGTCGTTGAATTCTATGAAATTTCAAGAATATCTGTTGCTGTCTGAAAGAATTTTCATATTCCTTTTTCTCCATGCATTAATTTTCCCTCATAGACTTCTCTCACCAAATAATTTTCTTGATTGGAGTAATATATATTATAATTTTCTACAAATTACCAAGAAAATACCTGATTTTACATAAAAATAATCATAAGAAGATCACAATAAACTGTAAACCTTAAACGAGGAAATGGAAGTAAATAACATTTTCATTCTTGTCTAATTCCACAAT